ATAGTGAAAATTTCAATAGTTACTATGTTTTATTATAAAAATTATCACGTGTTGCATTATTTATGATTGCCAGTGTAAATAATGATGTATTGAAATTAAAAAGTAATATAATTTAATATACCGAATATAAAATAATAACCAGTCCCTCCAGCGCCCCCAAAAGCTAAGAAGGGTCCCTAATGCAACTAGGAGCTATTTAAAATAAAAATGATTATAATTTTTCGAATAAAATAAATAATAAATTTGATTATACTAACAGTTTTGCTTCTATCATATATATAAGAATCATATTGAATATTTAATAAATGTATATCATGTTATTATCTGCTAATCCAATGATTCTTCTATCAAGATGAAACCTTCCATAGAAACATTAACTATTGCATAATATGGAGAGTCTGGAGTTATCCCAACATCCTCTATTTTAATATCAAAATATTAAGGGCTTAAAAAAATGTAATTTTTTGGATGTGATAAAGAATTATTATTTCTTATGTATGTCTGATTGAATATAAGGTGTTTTATTTTGATATAGCGGGTAACCAACCATAGTTATAAAATTATTATTTATTTTTCTGATACTATATCTTGAGTATTTCCAAACATATGTCTATCATTTTTTTTCAAAATACACGTAACGTATTGTTAAATTATATACTAATTTGCAAGCTTACTATATAAGCGTGGAAATAATAATATTTAGGAATGTTATTCGGATCATTATTAACTGATTAGTATAATTTCTGGGTATAATTCCACGCTTATATGGTATTCTCTCAAACCTGGTTTAGCTACACATAGAACAGTATTATTATTAATTTTTGTTAAATAAAAGGTATTACTCCATTCAATGGTTTGCTCAAAGAATTTGTTTTTGAATTTGGAACGTCGTTAGGCGTGTATCCTAATATTATTCATCGCTTTATCATTGCAAATCGCAAATTTTTATTTGAAATTACAGAAAAAACTACCTGTATCATATGCTTGCATCGTCGCCCAACTATTTGGATCCGGTTCTGTAACATTTATTGAAAGATAACTGTTTGCTAATCCTTGATCAATATTAAAAGATTCAGGTTCTGTAAAAATATAAGTAAGTGTAGCGTTTTTAAAGTTTGGGTCTTGGAACTTATCATTATTTGCTGGATGATGTGTATTATTTATTAAAGTTGCATAATTTTGGTTATTATCCTTAATCTGTATGTAAATTCGGGGCAAATTTGCTCCGAATTTTGTAAAATAATTTTTATCCACTCAAACTATAATAAATACTATAAACTGGTTATAACTCAATTAAAATACAAAAATTTAATAAATTTATTTACTTTTTACTATAAAAATCTTTAAAACAATTGGATCTTACTTAGAGCAAAAAAGAGGTATATTATATTTAATATACAAAATTGCATTAAGAAATTGCATTACTTTTTTTTTTTTTTTATCTTTATTATAATTTTTAATTATATGATAGTAGCACAAATATAATTCTTTTTGTTTCTTTTATTTTGCTAAATGATTCTCTAATAAAAATAGCTTACAGGTAGATTAAAATTAAAGTGCTTAATATTATTAATAGCTTTTACTTATTCAATTTTAAAAAAATAATTTTTAGATGGTTATTAAATCTTACTGTTATCATCTACAGCAAATATGTATCAACTTAAGTGTTACAGTGATATATGCGTACATGGTGATACAAGCAATATGGGATATTATTAATAAATCTTGGAGGTGGTACAGAAAATTTGCCAGGAATCAGAAATTTGTGGCAAATTTGCACCGAATACAGATTAAGAGATAGTCACAAGGTATTAGTGCTTTAAAATATTTTAGTTAATTAATTATTTATAATAACAATTAATTATAAATATTATAGTTAATTGCTTACTATAATTAAAGTATAAAATTTTACATAATAAACCTACTGAAGTTACAATGCTTTCTGAAGTAAAACAAGAAATAAGTGAAAACTTATATTTAAATCCTGCTGAATTAAGACAGCATCTTTGAAGAAAATTTGATTTATTCAATGTAACATCTAAGCAAATTTACTACCAGTTGTCTTATTTTACACAACAATTTTACAAAACTGATAAAAATTATATTATTTCGACATGTATGTTTTTTGACAAGCAACCTGATAATTATTGCACTTTATGTTTTCATCTTGATACAGATAATATAATGGCTATTGGTTTTATAACATGTCTATTTGATCAATCAAATTATAAAGAAATACATTGTGATGCTACTTATAAAACTGCCAAAGAGCAGTTTGAGCTTTACTGAATTGTTAGTAATATTGAAAGTATAGATTTTGCATTAGCTTACTTGGTTTTAAATAAGACAAAAGCACTTAAAAATGAAAGTCAAGAAATATTATGTACTGAAGCACTTACAGGCTTTTTTTATGCTCTCTATAATAAAGGCTTAAATCTAGTTTACTTTTATATGGATAAAGACTTTACTAAAATAACAACTACAAAAAACATATGACCTTTGACTAATATACAGCTTTGTCTATAGCATTTAGAAAAAGCACTTAATAAAAAGCTCAAAAGTCAGAAAAAATTGAACATATAAATTATAAATATAAAGAAGTTAAAAAAGAATTTACCTTCATCGATTTTTCTTTTATTCCAGACTTATAATGTATTGATAATGACTACTATGTTATCTGTCCCTCTAAACTTTATAAAACTATTGTTGAAATAGTTAAAAATCTTTTCATATTTATCTTAAAATACCTATAAATAATAATGGATAGTTTTTATCTCCTGTTGAAATAAGAATAAAAGCAGTTTCTGAAATATATAAATTCTGTTTAACAAATAAACTTGTATTCTTATAAACCTATTTATAGTCCTCTTGGTATAAATCTACAAGATGGTGCCTTTGGATATGTTTCACTTAAATAAATATATCACTTAATAAAACCAACAATATAATTAGGGTTCCTAAGTTCAGTTCAGTTCAAATTTAGGTTCAATGAACCTGAACTGAACCTGAACCTGAACCACAAATTTTGCAGATCTTTG